AAAGGGACTTTATGAAAATATTGTTTCTTTAGGATATATGTGTGTTGATTTGTAGTATAGCATTTCTATATACATAGATTCCAGTTTTTAGTTACTGTGTACACAAGTAGGTACATAGGCACTATAGTTGGGTGCCTTTAATAATAGTAGATTTATTTCGTAAGCTCCCTCTTTTTGGAATACTTGTTTGTCACTGCCCAGCTCTGACCATGTTGTTGTGATATTATTTTGTTGATCTGAGTTGTTTTCAATAGAGATATTAGCTTATTATATAACATTACTGATATACTTGCAATGGTCCTTTTAATTTAATGTAAAATAGTTTTCATGCCCTAGCTTCACAGACTTGATAGTTTTATGATAAAATATATTTATATATATATGATTTATTTATGTTAGACTGGTGTGGCACAGAAAGCATAGATTTTTTTCACTTTACTGTTTGTCACTGTATTCTGACTCACATTTCCAACACATTCACATCTTTTATGCCTGTGCCGCAGCTCTCTATATATCAAAACCTTATTTTTCTTTCGTGATTGCTTTATCACTGTCCTTTCATGGACACTTTTTTTGGATTCACATATTTGTTGGTCCTTAGCAACCACGTCTGTATCCGCGAGCGTCACAACGTGATGACGTCACTCGCGGTCCTTCCAGGTTTCAATCTGTTTGTGGGTGGTCACTACACTTGATTGGTAAGTGCCAAGATTATTTTCTTATTTAATAACGTTTGTTGTTACTATTTGTTGTCCTGAAAAAGACCCCTTGAGGGTCGAAACGTCGATTTGATGCAGATGTAATTGTTTATTTTCCTAATGAAACCACGTATCCACTTTGAAGGCCTATGAGTGCACCCCTTCTTCTCATTGTGTTTGTGTGTGTGTATATATATATATTTATGTGCATTACTAATATGTGCATACACACGTAACATACATGATCTTTACATACATAGCATATGTATAGATATAAGATATATTCGGTTACACACATAACAAACACATGCTTTACACATTACATGATTTACATACATAATATATACATTCTTTACAGAAAAAGTCATGGGTGCAATACATTTTTCTTCTTACTATATTATCTATATATATACAATTTTATTTATTATTTTATTAATTTTTTTTAACCCTAACAAACACTTCTGCTGCTGGGTACTGCTCCTTGCCTCCATTACCTACGATAGACACCTGAAGGGTCCTAAGCAGGAATTGTCAACTCCTGTTAGCTCTCCCGAGCTAAACCCTGGTGTTAGTAGTGGAGAAAAAGTTGCAATTTATTTCTGTACTCTGTTGTTTCCCTTGCAGTGTTCTAATTGTACTTTGTTTTTATGTCAAATGAAATAATTCTGTTACTTTTAATACAAATGCATGCAATTAACAAACATATAAGGCATAAAGACAATGGCACACAGTATGTTGGAATAAGACAATATAAACACTCGAGAAATTGTGGCAGCAAAGAAGAAGGAAAGAAAATGTCTTTATTTCATGAACTTCTAAAAGGTGAAATCTTCATGCAGGGCAAAGATTTACAATACAATTATAATATGAAAAAAAAAATATTTCCCACTGTGTCGTTATCTCTTCTCGTGTTTGGGAAAATTGAATTCACCTTTGCGCCTGATACTTAAGAATGAACCACCGGCTCTCAAAATCTCCTCTGTATTGTAAAGAAACACATTAAGTGGTGTTCTTCTTACACATTTAATTATTTTTGCTTATAAAATACTTTTGCATATTTAAAAAAAAAATACTGATTGAAAATGTAGGTGTATCATGGTGATTTTAGAATTTCATACAATTTTTGTTTCTAAAATTTCAGTCTTCTCAGGTATGTACACTTATGAATAAAATATAGAAAATTAGACTTATAGATTATTTTCATTATGAATTGCAGTTTGTCCACATATCGGCTAATCAAATGATTATCTTAAAAAGTGGCAAATTCAAAGTCGCTATTTAGATACATACAGTATCTAAACATACATACAGTGTTTGATATATAGAGGTCCACTGTTTTATTTGATATTGTCACATGGTTGTGGGTTGTTTTTGGGGGGGGGATGGAGGGGGGGATGGAGGGGATTGCACATTCCGTGTGTAGCAGCTGTTGGATTTTAAGATTTCTCATATCAATTTCTTTATCAATCATAAAAATATTGTTTTGGGTAACACAACTAAATTTCAATACAAACATTAATATGGATAAAATTTGTCTGTTAGACATTTGAAAATCACCTATACGTCGACTTTATGAGATGCTCTATTTTTTTATTTTATTTTATTTTTTATATTAAAGATTTACCAAATTACATAATACATTTCAAACAAGGCAAAGCCAGGGCAAACAATGCAAACGAGGAGAAGCAGCAAGAGAAACATTGTTTAATTTCTCTTCTTTTCTGTGTTATCTATCTTCTGGTTGCCAGTAGCAAATGGCAAACCTTATAACAATGATTGTCAGGGACGTAAATGGAGTTGGATAAATTGTAGGATAAATTGAGGTGAACATTTCTGAATATTTTTTTTTATGCTTTATTTTTGACATGCATGATAGGAACAGGCATTCTCACTATGCCACAACAGCAAAAGCAAGACAAGTGTTAACAATAGGCTCAACAGTGTAGGCACATAGGCAGAACTGCACACATTATTTTTTGTTTGGAAATCTAGAGTGATGCACGTTTAAACTTGGAACAAAAACACAAGTATTAAAGGAAAGACAGGCTCAGTAACAGGCTGAGTAACAAGCTACACATCTTTCATATCTAGGTCTAGCTGGATGTGCAGAGTTGTGTGTAATTACACTACTTGACAGATAAATAAGGCAATGCAGTCATTATAAACCTGCTAGTCTTTCAAGATTTAATTAGAGTAATATAGGTAACTACAGGTTACAACAGGCAAGCTCGGATGAGAAAAGATGCTGTGCTCATAGAAGAGAAAGGTTGACTAGGCTTGATGATTGATGAAATGCAAGCTTATACTACATGAGTACCATGTTAAAAAGCAGTCTAATAAAACCCAACTAGACATGTATTGGGGCACAGTCTCGCCATTACTGAAAACTACTCAGACATTGATCTTTAGTACCACTGGGCATACATGACATACAAGAAAATGCAGCTCACAAACAATGGCAATTGAAAATCAATGCCTGTACAGTCAGCCTATACCCATTGCTGGCAGGCTCAGCAGGTGGAGTGTTTGGGTGGCAACGAAGCTCCAGGAGTGATGCGTTGCATCTCTCCAGCCCCAGGCCGGAATGCAGGCTGGCATCTGCATGCCAGAATACCAGTCCATCTCCACTGGGGAAAGACAGAGGGCCCGGATGGCGTGCCGCCCAGAAGAGCAGTGGATCCTGCACTGTTGTTTGGAGGCATGATGACAGGCAAGCTGAGAGATAGGCTGCATCTTCCGCTGAGCAATGCCACCAGGCCTCGCCAAGATTGTCGTCCACAGCACCAGACGATGCTTGTTTGGTTGAAAAAGAACACAGGACACCTTTACTGGCGTCCCGTGACAGATGAGCTTCGATGTCAGCCTTTTAGGCAGGCTGATAGTCAGAAAACTCAGCATTAAGAATCAATGGAGAATCAAGCCTGGAGCTCTGACAAAACATGACCAGCCGCCATGAGGGTTAAACCCTGCCCCAATTTCAGAATTTTATTTTACTTTTCACAACAAAATAAATATTTATTAAAAATTGGGATAAGTAAACTTAGTATCAAATATCCTGAAAGAGATTCCTCTTTGAAATCATAAAAAGGCATGTGCACCAAACCTAACTTAATTTTTAATCTCAATAACTACCTCTAAGAGATGGCGTGTTTTTTATTTGTGCTGCCCTAAGCACGAAGAAATTTGCCACCCCAATCTAAATTTGCCCCACCAATTCGTGTCAAAGCCACTTTTTTAAATGACAGACACATGCATTAACATACACACACTCACACACGCTGTTTAAAGAACCCACACTTTCACTGACAGACACACTCATTGACTGACAGGCACACACTCTCAAATACACACACACTGACAGACACACACACACACACACACTCACTCACTAACTGACACACACAAACACACATTTTCTCATACAATCACCAATAATTTTATTTAAATCCACCCAGCCTCCTTACCTTTGGGAGAGCTGGAGTGGATCCTGTCCCTGACTGTTGCTGGGTGCTGGGCGGGCTCCTTTCTGGGGATGATGGTGGCTCCTGCTGGCTGGGCAGGCAGGAAGGCTCATAGCAGGCTTTTGCTGTCTGGGCATTTGGGAAGGCTCCTTGCTGGCTCATATGGGCAGGTGCTCAATTGAGGCGGCAAGGGAACTGAACTCTTCCTGCTCTGCTCGCTAGCGAACCACTGGGGCCTGATTGACATCATATTCTGGCTCCCAGCATCATAGAAGAACATGAGGGAGCAGAGCAGGAAGAGCTGCTCTCTCACCGCCTGCCTACACTATAATCAGCGGTGGGGGTGGCCCTGAGGTGGCCAGCTCTTCGCACCCCCTCCCCCCCATGACATGAGGCAAACAAGGCTTTTTCGTTTTGGGCGGCATTTTTTGCAGTGTTTCCTGAAAGTACCGCCCTAGGCAAATGCCTTGTTTTCCTTGCAGCAACTACAGCTTTACCTCTAAGGGTAGTGATACTTTGCACTTTTTTATTTATTTAAACTATTTTATTTAAAATTTACTTTGCAAAGCATGAACTCACCAAAAAAACCATGTACATAAGTTCCTGTAATTTTGAAGAAAAAAAAAAAAAACGCAAAAAGAAAACAACCAAAATGACAAGAGATTAGAAGAAATATTGTCAATGGCAGATTATAAATAAGCATTTTAACTGGCTCTAGTACAGATACAAAAAGGCATACATAACAGGAATCTTAGTCACAGTTAGTGATGTCGCGAACCGTTCGCGAACTTACCGCGAACGGTTCACCGCAGTTCGCCACGAACCATTCATGGCGAACTCCGGTCAGCTGACACATCCCTGCCAATCTCCAGCAGACCCTCCCTCCCAGACCCTCCCACCTCCTGGACAGCATCCATGTTGAAGCTGCCTTCAACATGGATGCTGTCCAGGAAGTAGGAGGGTCTGGGAGGGAGGGTCTGCCGGAGATTGGCAGGGATGCGTCAGCTGACCGGAGTTCGCGGCAAGTTCACGAACCGTTCGCAACATCACTAGTCACAGTGTATGCAGCATTCACTATAGTTACCTATTTGTAGACATTGAGCCCATCATGCAATTGGAAGTAGAAGATCCAATACAAAATAAATATATAAGTATATAGGATGGGTGGTAACTGGGGCGCCGCACATGCCAAAATTGAAAACTTTCTCTCACTATTTATCTCACAGCAGGGTCAAGCTCCTCCCACCTGTGCTAGACACTCCAACAATGATGCATTAGTTTGTGAATTCTATCATGGACTTAACTTCTTTGCACGATGGTACATCCTGCTTGATCCAGTGGGTCACTAGCGACTGTCTAGCAGCAAGAGTGATTCAATTGAAAAGTTTCTGTTCATGCCTGGTCAGCCCCTCCACTGAAAGGAGACCACATGTCTATCTCCATCAGTCTGTGGAACACCTTATATAGTAACCCTTTGATCTAATGAAAAAACCTGACCACTTTTACATTCCCACCACATATGAACATAAAATCCCCTGAGTCCATGTTTTAAAGAGGTTTTTTTATGTTAAAGAGTTTGAAAGGGGTAGTATACCATCTGTGTAGTATTTTCTGCATATGTTACTGTGCAGACATCAATACCACTCAGAGTTTGCAGGAATCTATGATCTGCAAACTTTCTTTGACTTGGGGATGAGCATAACAACCTAGCAAAGCTGGTGGGTATGCGACAGCCTCCTAGAGTCAAATGCCAGAGCTGAAAAATGCGGACACTGTGCTCCTGCTCAGCAACAGCTTTTCAGCCAATCAGGTACTCAGGAGAACCGTGCTGAGCTTTGCAACCCTGATTGACTCCGATTTATAAAATTGGGAAATGGACAATGATTAGCTCATCCCACAAAGCACTGAGAATATATATAACCCAAAACATGGGTTAAATATACCAAAAAAACAGTTAACCATTAACGGCGTAAAAAAGAGTAGCGAAAACCTATTTAAAAATCTATACACAAAAGAATTCAAGAACCCAATAGTTAAGAGAAAACAAGAAAATATTTAATAAGTTATAAAGACACAAGATATACTTGAAAACTTTTGCATACTGCGCACAGCTAAGCTGATCACAAACCAACAATGTATAAGCTTAAGAAAGTATCAAAAAGACACTGAAACTGGAACATCGTAGATTGCAACAAAATAACTTCTATAAAGGTAAATGAAATGTTGTAACAAGTCTCTGATAGCAGGTTCTTTATGCAAGGAGCACATGAGAATTCCATATTGCAAATAGAACTAGCCGTCAATCTTCCTAGTTAGGTGGGTCCTTGGTTTGTTGTTTTTGTCTTGGCATACGGTTAGAATCTGTAAAAGACAGAAAGCAGTTAACTCTAGGAGAAACATTAACTATATCTGTGGCAGACACAGATATGGAGTCCTCTATCAATAATGCCATTTTTAAAATTCAGAGGTAATCAGGATTCCCGAGCTCAGCACAGCTCTCCTGAGTACCTGATTGGCTAAAATGCTGTTGCTGTGCTGGAGCACAGTGCAATCATTTTTCAGCTCTAGCATTTGTCTCCGGGACTCCTAGCTTTGCTAGGTGGTTATGCCTCATGGAGGATAAAAACAAAGGTCGCGGTCTCCCACATAGTTTCCCACTCCTTCCATTCAGTCCTCCTTCCTCTTCCCCCTGTCTGGTTTAGGTCGGGTCTCGCCACACTGGAGAATTAGTGCACATGTAACTACATATGACAGAAATCATTCCTTTTTGGCTAGCCTCACTTGGGCATAATTGTTCAAATATTGAAAGCCCTCTTTTGATTGCTGTTTTGACCTCTTCTCTAGTAGCACAATTTCAAAACTGAAGGAACCTGACAAATATAATTTATTTTTAAAGCACCAAAAATCATTAGATTGACATAAAATGAGTGCTATGCATTGATACGGAAGAATGTGAACCTACACTGTAGTAGCACTTCAATAACTTCAGTGTTGCTTAGGAATATTAAAATTATAGCAACAAGTGTACCATATATCAATAGTTCTTAACACCTAGCTTTGCTCCACATGATATTGCACTTGGTCACCATTGATTGAAACAGATTCACCATGAATCCATGCAACTGCTTAAGATAACATTTTCTTGTAGCAGGAACCAGGGCCGGATTAACATAGGGGCTGAAGGAGCTGCAGCTCCAAGCCCATGGAATAGGCCCATTAGATTTTATTTTTTTACACACTACTCTTAGGTTTGCCACCTGACTGGTATTTTAAGGCACAGCCAGTATTTGAGGCTGCCTGGATGTGATGGTATTGCAGTAATACTGGCAATATAAATGCAACTATTTTTCTCAGTATAAACGGAGATTACTCTGCAATACCAGCACCGGCCAGTAGGGGTCACTGTGTATGGAGAGAGGCAGGGATAGGAAGTTACAGCATCTCCCTGCCTCTCTCTACTCACTGATCCACAGGGGAGCAGTTACACAGCATAGAGAGTCCAGACAGCAGCTCCCAGCCCGCAGAGACAGACTGCAGCTCAGGTATGTGAAGGATGGGGGGGAAAGGTAGCAGGGAGACATGGGGAAACTGAGACACTAGGGGACACTGGGAGATTTGGGGACACTGGGAAACATAGGGACAATGTGAGACATGGGGATGCTGTGAGACATGGGGACGCTGTGAGACATAGGGAGACACATTGGGACACAGACACACTAGGGAGACAGTGTCTCCATGTCTCCCAGTGTCCCCATGTCCCCAGCCAGTGTCTCAGTGTCCCCAGGGCTCCCAGTGTCCCCTAGTATCCCAGTGTATGTGTCCCCATGTCTCTCAGTGTCCCCATGTCCTTCAGTGTTCCCATGTCTCAGAGTGTCCCCAAATGTCTGTATCCCCATGTGTCCCAGTGTCCACATGTCTCCCAGCCAGTGTCCCTAGTGTCTCAGTGTCCCCATGTCTCCCAGTCTCTGTGTCCCCATGTCTCTGTGTCCCTAGTGTCCCCATGTATCCCAGTGTCTCCAAATGTCTGTGTTCCCATGTCTCCCAGTGTCTTCATGTCTATGTTCACAAGTGCTCCCATGTCTCCCAGTGTCCCCAAGTGTCTGTGTCACCATGCCTCACAGCCAGTGTCCCTAGTGTCTGTGTCCCCATGTCTCTCAGTGTCCCTAGTGTCTTAGTTTCACCAAATATCTGTGTCCCCATGTCTCCCAGTGTCTGTGTCCCCATGTATGTGTGCCTAGTGTCTGTGACCCCATTTCTCCCAGTGTGCCCAAATGTCTGTGTCTCCATGTCTCCTAGTGTCCCCATGTCTGTATCCACAAGTGCCCTCATGTCTCCCAGTGCCCCAATGTCTCCCAGGGCCCCCTTGTGTCTCAGTGCCCTCATGTGTCTCAGTGCTCCCATGTGTCTCAGTGTCGCCATGTCTCATTGTGTCTCCATGTATCTCAGTGTCCCTAGTATCGTAGTGACACGGGACACACTAAGACATGGGAGCACTGGGAGAAATGGGGACACAGACACTGATACTAGGGGACTGGGCGACATGGGGACACTGACACTGATATATAGGGACACTGATGCAAGGCTGGCATTCCAATTCTTTGGACAGACATGCCCCCTTTTTGGGCATGTTCGCCCCTTTTGGTAGTTCTGGTCACATGATTTGCATCGGTGGCCCACCCTTTTACCCAGCCCATTGATTTCCTGCTTCACTGGACATTGCTGTTAGGGGTATGGATTTACTTGAAATATGAAAGCATCCATTAGAGAGAGATTAGCATAGAGTATGTGTTTTCTTATAGCTGCATCCTTTCACTCCAACACCATCTCCAACAGATACATGTTGCTTGGGAGATATGACTGTTTTAGTGGTTTTGGTCGATAAGATTCTGTAATTAGGCCCATCATAATTGTCAGCTCTTAATCTGGCACTGGCAGGAACACATTCCCTAGTGCACAATGCTTTTAGTTTTCTTCACTAAAGGGAGAATTCAAGGTGAATTTCAAGCGAATTTAATAGCTGAACTGGAAAAATAATCTCAATCGATTCTAATTCAATCTAATTCGATTCAGCTACTCTGGCCTTAAAATTTAAATTTGCTTTGTATTCTTACTTTTGTAAATTACCTGATAGAGTTTAAAGAAAGTGTTTTTTTTTTAGTTATTATATTAAAATTAAAGTGTGGGTCTGGAAGATTGTTTTGCAACTGAAGAGTGTGTCGCCAATCTAATATATTGGGTATCCATTTAAAAGGTTAACATCCATTGCTGTATATAGAAAAACACAATGAGAACCGAACACTTTGAGAACCGAAGTATTACAAACAAAGGCAGACCAAATAACTATCTATTTAAATTCAGAAATCTATATAAATTTGAATCTCCATCGGAAACTGATCAGGGAACTGTCTTACTTCCTTCAAAGTAGAGTATGAAACTTGTAGTTATTCTTATATTTACAGCGTTGGAGTTAGCCTACGTGTTAGATGTAGTAATGATGTAATGTACTGAAGGAAACCTGCAAATGAGGTTTGTATCTGAGTCTAGTTCTGATATACAATTTTCAAGACATTTCAAAGAAAGGATAGATGACAAGATAATATCAAATCTTTCAATAAACAGAAATAAATCTGCACGGATAAAAGCAGTGATGATGCTGTAAACTAGCTTTTATAATGCATACTTGCTTTTAAAATAACTGGAACGTTTGGGATTTTAACTGAATACATACATATAGGTATACATACTTACATATACATAAAGAATATGTCTGATGGCTGCATGAACCAAAAATAATTAAATAGAAAATGTGAAGGATTTTCATGTACTTACCTGTGTGCCTTCAGTTATACCTTCTCCCTGCTGTTTAAATGCCTGTATCAGTTCGTTTCATTATGTATTGAATAAATGTATTCGTCTACCGAACGGAGACCACCCACCCTGGGTAGCAATCAGCATTAGAACGTAGAGAAAACCGCAACTTAATTGCTCCTAGGTGGCCGCCATTCGGC